GAGATGAGGTCTCGCTGCCCAGGCGGGTCTCAAACCCGCGGGCTCAGGCAATCCGCTCACATCAGCCTCCCAAAGGCGCGGGATTACAGGCTGAGCTACCGAGCCCGGCTGTTTCTTTCTTTAAACTTCCTACCTCCTCTTTCAAGAGTATCAGCCACATGAGGGCAGGGAGCTGGTACCTGGATCATCACTGGAGGGCACTCAACAAATAGTCCATAAATGAATTCATGAATGAATGAGGAAACTGAGGCTGAAAGGAGTGAAGTAACTTGCCAAAGGGCACAGAACAACGCAAGGGCCGGAGTGGAGTCTGTGACCTTCCTGGTTCCTAGCTCTTGACCACTGGGCCAGTGGTTACAGTTTTTAGATTGGGACCCACATAAGAAATACTTTACCCATTCTGGGTCATGCAAGCATATGCACATGTGCAGATATAAACTGACACAAAAGTTTCGTTAATATTTTCTTTATTAAGAATAATGAATACTGATATTTTATGTTGGTTTCTGTCAATGCTCTCTAGCCAAAGACCACCCAGAACACATCAGCAGTCGAACAAGAAGGGCTTGTTGCCCCTCACGATGAGAAGGAACACACACCATGGAGAAACATGGGGCGTCTCAGGAAGGGATACTGGAAAGGATTTACAGGTTTTGGGCTTGTGTTAGGTGATTTTGGGGAGAGTTCAAGGAAGCAGGGCTTTTTCTGGCTTGGATGCTGTCAGGAGGCAGGGCAAGTCTATGTTTGAATATCTTCATTATTCTTTTTTTTCTGAATTGGAGTCTCACTCTGTCACCTGGGCTGGAGTGCAATGGCACGATGACAGCTACCACAACCTTGACCTGCTGGGCTCAGGTATTCTTTCTGCCACTGCCTTCCAAGTAGCTGGAACTACAGGTGCGTGCCATCACACTTGGCTCATTTTCTTTATTTGTGGTAGAGATTAGGTCTTGCCAAGTTGCCCGGGCAGGTCTCGAATCCCTGGGCTCAGGTGATTCTCTCTCCTCTGCCTCCCAATGTGTTGGGATTATAGGTGTAAACCACTGCTCCCAGCCTTGATTATCTTTTTTTTCTTTAGTTGGAGTCTCACTCCGTTACCCAGGCTGGAGTGCAGTGGCATATTCACGGCTACCACAGCCTTGACCTGCTGGGCTCAGGAGATCCTTCTGCCTTAGCCTTCCAAGTAGCTGGAACCACGGGCATGCACCACCATGCCCCGCTGATTTCTTGATTTATCATAGAGATGAGGTCTTCCAAGTTGCTCAGGCTGATCTTGAACCCCTGGGCTCAGGCAGTCCTCTTGCCTCTGCCTTCCCAAATGTTGGGATTACAGGCATAAGCCACTGCTCCCAGCTAAGTATCTTAATATTTCTTATGTAGAAGGTGGAGACAATGAATGGAAACTTAAGTTGTAAGTGGCAAAAAGCAGCCATCATTCATATTAGCCGGGCCATACGGATGTTAGTCATTTTTGAGGCTTAGATGAGGTTCATATTTCTGTCTGTGTTCACACACGATTGCAGAGTGGTTTGTTTTTCTCTTGATCCACCATGGTCACGTAGTGATTTTGCTGTTGGTATTCTATAAAACTGTTATGTTCAA